ATGAAAAACTTTCTACAAGAGATATGATTTTTGGAAAGGAGTTAGTAAAATTATTTCTGATTCTTGATGAGAACATTTTTATCAATAATGCCTGGTGCAAAATGTTTTGTAGTGTGTTTTTTGGTAAACAATTCTTTTGAAAACTAAGAAATTTGTAAGTATTTTTTTAGTTTTATGACAATGGAATGCTGCTTCTTGAATAGCAGTGGACAGAAACTGGAAAATTCCAGTCCATCCATATCGACTATCTCCAAGTCTTGGACCTTGTAGCCCCCTTGGGATTTAACAGCAGGTATTTTTTAAAGTAATTTAAACTTCTAGCATTTAAAATAATGTCTGGGGGACAAAAGTTTTGGTCACTGAGTATGTGTGACTTTAAAAATTAGGTAAGGCATATCTTACCTTTGTACTGAAATTAAGGCATCTCTGGCTATGCTTTCTGTAAAATTAGTTTCCCTTTACACCCATTGGTACCTTATAGTGTGCCACTATTTACAGCATGCTTGCACATTGTTACCCTCCTGTTAGCCTCACTTAATTGTAATGGCAGTCAATACTAAAACTCCATTCCTCTCCCATTCCAGAAACCAAGCTATGTGAGGATTTGGCCCTACTCAGGTTAGATCTGCCCTCTTTCCCTGCCTTCCAAAATTGTGTGTATGTCTATGTGCACTCATATGTTCATCCACAGATAACATGAATGCCAAATATTTTGACAAGTCCTGTCTTGAGACATATGTTTAATATATGTATTCTACACATGTATCTAGGAATATATACATGTTTATGAGATTTAAAGTTTCTGAAAATGAGGTTATTGCAGTGACTAGAATTAAAGTGGAAATACAGAAACACAGACCAGTTCCAGTTTGTGCTCAGCACTCAGCGTGTCTGATCCTGCTGTGCTCCTGCTGAGCACTGGAAGAAGCCCAGATAATCTGTTTATCATGAATCTTTGTGAAGTGTTGGGGAATGAGCCAAGATCCAGCAGACCAGCTAGAAGAGATGCGAGTGGACTCATGGTAGGCTCTGCTGTGCATAGGCATTTGAAAACAATTGCTGCAGCAGCCAAGAGACTGGAGATGGTTTGATTTCAGGCTTTTCCAACGCAGATGGCTGGAAACATTTACTAGACTTGAGCTTTAATGTTAAAATAGAAACTCCCCCTTTTGAATATTTGACAGTGGAGACTTCTAAGGGATGTGACATTCTCGCTGTCTACAAACACACTGATGGAGTGCCTGAATTCAGACCTTGAGATAGTGTCTTTGCTTTGGGCTGCTAGAGATTATTGACTCTTGAAGTTCCAAACTGAAGATTTTATGTCAGCAAGAAAGACTTTTTATTTATTTATTTCCGGAACTGGAAAAGGCAAGAACTGTTCTACTTGTAAATTAAACAACCAAATTTCTTGTTATTTGTCAAAGTGATGTCATTATCTTACTGCACCACCGCTTCCAAATGGCCTTACAGGCATCATTTAAAGTACTGTGAAGTATTTGTCATAGAGTCAGAATGTTCCTGGCAAGCCTGAGAACTGCTAGATTAAGAGTTTACCCAACAGCCTGAACTATTATTGTTTAAACTTTTAGAAATGCATCTAAACCATGGTTACTCCCACCTCCCACAGATGCCAATGCAGTAACATCCTTAAACTTTTCTTGCTATATGGTGAAATAAACCGTACCATATTTCTCTGGACTTTAAGAGGATTATGGTGTCAACACCGAGTCTAAATGAAAATCCTTACCTTGTAACGCTAAGAATTTTGGGGTAGTATTCTCATGTGGATATAGTATGTTGCTCAGGAAGTCGTTCGGATTATGATCAGTTTGGCCTTGCTGAAGACCTGTCCCTATCTTTTTCTGGAGGACACATATCAGATGGACCCTTCCAGGTCTTACGTGTCTGGGTTAAAGTCTCATGAGTCATTGCTTTTAAAGTTTGGGGTTTCTCTATCCTCGTGTCCCCACTCCTTGCCTGGCTGGTCCCTGTGCTGGCAGCTGCCTGTAGATGGGGTGCCGTTCCACGTATGCCAGGACGCCAGCAGCTGTCCTACAGATGTGGTACAGTTGTGGTGCACATACAGTCTGTGCTGAACTGCAGTGGCCGTCAAGTAAGCACCTTGTCCTGGGTTCAGCAGTAGCAGTCATTTTTCTCCTTCTTAGTAGCTGGTGCATCGCTGTGTTTTTGACTTTCAGCCTGGGAACAACGCTGATAACACTGATGTTTTTAGTTGCTGCTCAGTAATGTTTAGTCTGACCAAGGACTTTCTGAGTCTGATGCCCTGCCAGGGAGGAGGGGAAGCTGGGAGGAAGCAGAGACAGGAAACCTGACCCAAACTAGCCAAAGGGGTATTTCACACCACAGCATGTCATGCCCAGTATATGAACTGGGGGCAGTTACCTGGAAGGGACAGATTGCTGGTCGGTGGGTGGTGAGCAGTTGTATTCTCTTCCCTTGTTATTTCCCTTATCATTATTGTTATTGGTGGTAGCAGCAGTGGTTTTGTGTTATACCTTTGTTACTGGGCTGTTCTTATCTCAACCCATGGGAGTTACGTTCTTTCGATTCTCCTCGCCATCCCTTCGGGAGTGGGGGGAGGAAGGGGGAGGAGTGAGCGAGCGGCTGTGTGGTTCTGGGTTGCTGGCTGGGCTTAAACCACGACAGTTCTTTTTGGTGCCCAACGTGAGGCACAGAAGGTTGAGATAACGACAGATCTGACCAGAGTGTGTCTAATCGTATTTGTGATAAGCATTCATTGTTTGGATTAATAGTCACTCTTCACAATGCTGATTTATTGGCTCTCAAAGTTGTTGCTCTTGATCTCAGAGTTTCAGCACATCATACCTTACTTACAGCCGGTATTTGCTGTGTTAGTGTACATCAGCTGCAGGCCTTGGGCTTGTTTCATTGTACTTTATGGTAATGACTTGTAATACAATAGACTCATTGATCATGAAACTGATCTGGCTTGCATTCCCAGTGTGGTCATCACCTCTATACTTTGGGAACTATAGAATAGAAGTGTATAGCAATTACACATCTTTTTTCGTCTCCTTGGGTGGTCAGCCTAGGAGGGAGACATTCCCACACACCCTAGTGACAAGTACAGCAGCTACTCAAACTCTGACTACAACAGACAGCACAGCTACCCCAGCTCCAAGCACAGCAGCTACACCAGCCCCAGTGACAAGTACACCAGCATCATTTGAGAGTTCTGAAGGTTTTGAATGGCCTTTGGGTACCCTCGAGACCTGCCTGCTGATTGTGATGGGGATCATCACCATGTTGGCACACATACCGTGTATGTTTTACCCACAACCATTTAATCTGATCTTGAAAGTTAAGTGGAGTCGGGTTTGGGTCTTGGCTAGGATTAGACGTTGATATAGGAGGACCACCAAGAGATTCTCCCTGAGGCTGGACAGCCATGAGTGGCAGGGTGTGTGGGACAGTATGGGCAAGTATCTAGTGCACTGGGCCCTCCAGTGCTTTGGAAGCATCGGAGATGGAAGGCAGCTGTATGGAGTCCCCGACGACAAGCTGCAGCAACTGCTGAAGGAGAGGGTGAATCGAGTCAGTTTGCCAAGGTGGAAGCCATCCAGCTGGCCCTGGACATTGCTGAACGAGAAAAGTGGCCAGTACTTTATCTCTATACTGACTCGTGGATGGTGGCAAATGCCCTATGGGGGTGGTTGCAGCAATGGAAGCAGAGTAACTGGAAACGCAGAGGTAAACCCATCTGGGCTGCTGCACTGTGGAAAGATATCGTTGCCTGGGTGCAGAACCTGGTGGTGAAGGTACGCCATGTAGATGCCCATGTACCCAAGAGTCGGGCCACTGAGGAACACCAGAACAACCAACAAGTGGATAAAGCGGCTAAGATTGAAGTGGCTCAGATGGACTTAGATTGGCAACATAAAGGTGAATTATTTTTGGCCCGGTGGGCCCATGACACTTCAGGCCATCAGGGCAGAGATGCAACATATAGATGGGCTCGTGATCGAGGGGTGGACTTAACAATTAACTCAATTGTATGCTGTTGCCTGTTATGTGGCACTTTTATAACCCACCAGCTAGATGTCTTCAGGTCACCAGCAACTGGCCCTGACTTCCCTCTGACCCTCATCCCAACAAAGAATGAACCTTGATGAAACCAGACAAGTTCTGTGTCTGGTTCAGCAGGCAACAATCCAACACTGCACACAGCCTCTCCTGCTCTGAAAGACTGTTACAAGAGGTGGATCATGGACTGGATGGATTCAGCAGCTTTCTAGGGATTGGTCCATGCACTAAGGAATGATTCTTTGTGTGTGTGGATGTATATATATATGAGTGATGGTATATTGAAAAATGTGAGATCTGAGCATGACGTGAATGGTATGGAATAAGGGGTGGATACTGTCCTGGGTTCAGCAGTAGCAGTCATTTTTCTCCTTAGTAGCTGGTGCAGTGCTGTGGTTTTGACTCTCAGCCTGAGAACAACGCTGATAACACTGGTGTTTTTAGTTGCTGCTCAGTAATGTTTAGTCTGACCAAGGACTTTCTGAGTCTCATGCTCTGCCAGGGAGGAGGGGAAGCCGGGAGGAAGCAGAGACAGGAAACCTGACCCAAACTACCAAAGAGATATTCCACACCACAGCACGTCATGCCCAGTACATGAACTGGGAGCAGTTACCTGGAAGGGACAGACTGCTGGTCGGGTCAGGCTGCGTATGGGTTGGCAGGTGGTGAGTGGTTGTATTCTCTTCCCTTATTTCCCCTTATCATTATTATTATTGGTGGTAGCAGCAGTGATTTGTGTTACACCTTACTTATTGGGGTGTTCTTATCTCAACCCATGGGAGCTGCATTCTTTTGATTCTCCTCCCCATCCCTCAGGGAGTGGGGGGGGGGAAGGGGGAGGAGTGAGTGAGCAGCTGCGTGGTTCTGGGCTGTCGACTGGGCTTGAATCACGACACATCTCCTTTAGCAACTTAAGCGATGCATGTTGACCATAGTTTTAAAATACTTGTTTTATTAAATGTTTAAAATAACATAAACATCATATTAACAATTTTATGGCTGAGGTTCTCATAATTTGTGACTTTACCATTTTTATCTGATTTGAGAGCTCAAAAGATTACATCTTAACATTAGAAACTCTGTAATTAAGACTTGTAAGTTGTCTCATAGCTAACAAGAGAATAGAAATAGCAGATAGAACCATATAAACTTTGGACAGTGGGAGAATATGTATTTTACTATGAACTGGGGTCTGCCAAGATTTTATAAGGACAAGAAACTTTTTATAAGTAGTTTCATGTTAATCTGAACAAACCACTCAATTCATAGTAGACTTTTAAGCAGTAAAGTGGGATAGTACATCTTTAATTATTCCCCAAATATGCTTTTTTAATTATCTTCTTATTTATTAAGTCTGTACCACCTTCATACCAATATTTAGCACCATGAAATGGGATATTCACCATTTAGCTTCTGGGGAATGTACAGTATGTTATTTACTCTGCGCTAGAATAAAGGGTCCAATTGTTATGAAAGTTCATCCTTGCTTTCTGTGGTAGAACGTCAGTGCTGGAAGAGCAACAGCATGCTTTTGACCATGAAGCTGTAACTTATTTACAAACAAAAGAATGCCCCCCCTCCCTCTTTTCCCAGTTGCTTATTCATGATGATGATTTGATTAATAGTACTACAGGTTGGGTTTCCTTTACACTGGAAACTAGGGTAGGTTTTAGTCACTTTGTCTTAAACTGAACTGGACCAGTGCATACCAAACAAGCACAGCCTGGCATTTCAGTATGAGCCCCACTACTTTTAGCATCTCTGTATGCTGTATGAGAATTTTGGTGCTGAAAGATTAACTATACACACAGGCACATATAATCATGTTTTCTTAGAAAATGGAAAATAACACATTTCTTGAGGGGGTGGGTAATGGACCAAGAACGTGTAATATACCAGGATGTCTGTTACCCGCCTCCTACCAAGAAAGAATTGTATTTTCTTAACAAAGTTATTTGGATAGAGGGTGGATAGGTGGGAAATTTGGGGTTTTTTTTGGTAACAGACATGCTGGAGAGAAACAGCTTTGGTTGTCAGTCAAAAGGCAGTTTAAATTCACATTAATTTAAGGGATTTGGTGGGGTTTTTTGTTACTGCAATTTAATTTAAAAAAAGGTACTTAATTGCAAGCTGATGCCAACTGCTCATTGATATTCAGTGTTTCATTGCTTTCGCACAGCAGTTCATAGCTATAGCCTACAGACTAGTATATATGCATAGTATTAGCAAAACATTAGTACATTGGGTTCAACAGTGGTCCGTGTTATTTCTGAAGCGACACTGCAGGCTCCTGACACCGTAAGGGGGTAGATACACTGCAAGTCCATAGGGAATAAACAAATAATCCCATTATACTGTCTTGTGGCAGATATTTTCTTTTGTGGCTGTGCAGAATGACTGCCAATATTGTTCTCCATGCTGCCTGCTGATAGCTGGGGGAAGGATGGAGGAGCCTTTTAGTTCATAGGTTCTATTACAAGAAACCAAACTGACAACAAAATGCTGATGGAGCTCTTCCCCCTATTCCTTGGGAGGCAGAGTCTTGTGAGTTTGGCAGCGCATACTTCTCTGAATCCTTGAGTCTCCCTTATCTCGTTGAGCTGGATGCTCTGTGCCTAGCAGTGCTTCTGCTGTCTATGAGCAGAGGCTGCAGGAATGCTCCTCCTCCTTCCCTCTCCTCCCCGTAACACATGCTACCTCTGTACGGGAAGGAACCCCAACCTTGAGTCCTGCTTCAACCTTACAGGTATTAAAAGCTCTAGCCTTCAGCCATGAATAATATCCATTCCTGCTTGTGTTAATTTGTGCACCACAGGACCTCTGATTTAACTTAATACAGTTGTAATTCCTTTCTTTTGTCAAAGCTTGTGAGTATACATGAAAGAGTAAGAGAGAATAAGGAAGAAAAGAAGTGGCTGTCACTCGGTGTTTTCTTTGAGATATTTTCCCCAAGGCTTGGGTTTCTTCAGAGCACATACAAATACACTGAGGAGCACACATAAAACATCAAAGATAAGTTACTGCTTGAGGTGAGAGCAAGTTCTTATGCCAGGTCTAGCTCTCCATGATGACAGTCATAACTGGCACCCAAAGGCCATTTCCATGCATCAGTCTCTGCACTGAGGTTTTTCTGAAATATTTTTGTGGTTTGATCACTGGGAAACATCTCAAGCCACAAGAAAATGGATTAAAGATTCAGCTTTCACTGCATGTTATGTCTGTGTTAAGAAAAGCTAACAGTTTGATTCCCCTCAGGCAAGGCCAGAGCTCTGGAGTCAGCTGCTGGGAATACTGTGTGGGCTATGAAAGGTCTCCAGAAGAGCATATACCATCTGCAACAGCTATATGTCTGTAACATTCCAAGCAGCTCCTGCTGTTCTTTCAGGGCTGAATAGCAGCTTTGCTGTGGCTGTTAACTTTAGAGCTTTAAAACGTGGTATCACCATTGTTCTGAATGAAACTGGAAGCATCTTTTTGCATGTGCAGAAAACAGGTCCAGATAAACTCAGGTGAGTAAAGATACATCTCTGACTTGTTCAGACAATACAACCTGTGCAAATAACTGTGAATGCCTACAGGCATATGTGAGGAATGTGTGGCATGACTAACACTGGAAAAGGGAAGGCAGGACACTTTACTCATAGTAGAACAGACTGATCTAGACCAGATGTTGTAGGTATAGCAGGTCTGCAGTATTTGACTTTTTTTTCGTGAGACTCAAGCTTTTGTCTGTCATGTGCATACAGTAAGACTTACAATTCCTTTAGTTGTTGCTTCTCTTTGTCCATATGGCAGGCACTTAAAAAGACTTTCAGGATATGAGTTAAGATTATTTCCTAGTTTTTTTAATGGATGCTTGTTTCAGAATAATCTGCAGTTTTGTTTTGGTTTTTAGGCTTTCATACGAGAAGACTGGAAGCTGGCTGATGACCTGATTATGTACTTGAGGGAATGCAGTCTTTCTAGAGGAAACCCTACAGCAACCTGCCTCACCCCACCAAGGTAGCCACACTTCCTGCACAGCCAATTTAGCAAAGTATAACACAAATAACCTTCACCATGTACACTGCTGTGAAAGCACTGTACGTGAAATATCTGGTCCCCAGCACCCAAACCCATAGCTGCTAGTTTCCCAGGCAGTGACACCTTGCTAATGTGCAATGCACAGCACATACTGCCAGCTTTCTGAAGTTGTAAAAAACATAGCCAACAACCAGCACCGTTTCTTTTTCAACATATATTTTCAAGGCAAAAGCTTAGAAAATGTGCATCTTTCTAAACTGGGTGCTTGACCTAATTAAGCATAGATCAGAAGTAATGTGTGACATACAGAGGGGCCTTTGCTGGGCCTTGCCACTCTGGACAGCATGTTTCTGGTCAGATTCTGCTGCAGGCATCCTTTGGCAATTGCTTGAAACTAGACATCTGGGGCATACGGGGGAAGATGAATTCCTTGCACCTCAAGAAAGACTTCTGAACTAGCTTGGAGGCCTAGGATATAAATATACTGTCATCATAACTTGTTCTTGCCTTCACTGCCAAAAACAAGTATAATTTTTTGAAGAATGCCAGCCTTGTAAATACTCTGCTGTTCTCAGCTCTCAAAAGAGCAACTGTGTCATTTTTTTGTGATGTAGTATTACTTTTTTCCAACAGCTAGCATGACACAAGACTAGAGAAACTGGATGCTGCATCATTTCAAAACCTAGCTGCTTAAAAGTCTGATAACCTTAAAGTGCTTATTCAGTGTTATCTGAATAAAAAATATTCCAGTATTAGATTTCACTTTGAAAAGCTGATAGCGTGATAAATTTGTTGCTGTTGCACTAAGGCTATTGTTGCACCAGCTACTTTGAAGAAGGCTCTCTCTCTCTCTCCTCCCCCCAGGAATTCATACTTCACTAGGTGAAACAAGTATCTCCAACAGCTGTAAGCATTAGGAAGTCCTTGGCTTCTTCTCTAAACTGCAACGTAGGACAAAATGCATTACTTTCACAGCGCATGCCTGCTTTTACAGAGAAGTCATAGAATCATGGAATTGGTTAGATTGGAAAAGACCTTTAAGATCATTGAGTCCAACTGTTAACCTCAATGGAATCAGATTTCAGACTTCTTAATTCTTACTGACAGAGGCAGCAGCAGAACTGGCCTGACAGGATTTACTCCATACATGTCTTTCTTTACCCTTTTTTGCCAGGGGAAGTGATCAACTGTAAAGTGATTTAGCTGTAATGAAAGCAGGAAGAACAGTATCAGGCTGGTTTTTAAGCCACAGGGAGAAAGGTTTTCTGCAGATAAATCCAAGGGGGAAACAGACCTATTCCTCAAAAGCAATAAAGAGTTTCTGAATTCTTCTTCAATATTTTAAGAAGGCTTGTCTTCATTCTTGGAGTAAATAACAGCAATTTTTCAAGCCCCAAAACTGTCCCAAGCAAATGTGGTAAATGCAAGAGCAAGAGATTTTTTACAGACTGCAACCTTAACCGCAGAGAGAAAAAATACCTCTCCATAAGAAAGCAGCTTGTGGGTGAGTAGCATTAACACAGGTACATGGATTTTATGTACGTCTTCAGTTATGGCTTGAAATCAGTCCTCAGTAACAGTATAAGACAAGATCTGAAAACTGTTCAGTGTGGTCACTGACTTAGTGAACTGATCTTTTTCCCTCTAAGTTTAAAAAAACTGAAAAGGTAAAATCATGATTTTCAATAAGGTACCATTTCACTGAATGAGAATGAAGGAATAGCCTCTTTAGGAAGACCTCTTACAGGTTAAATTTCCTTGGCTGGGTCTTCCCTGATGGTATCCTTTTCTTTCTAAGTCTGTACGCTTTAAAATTACCTCTTCTGAGGAAGAAATGGAATTAAGATAACCTAAGTAGTACATGGGAAGACACTGACTTTGGTTAATCCTTACTTCTGCTCATCAGACTCTAGATGAATGGTCCCAGCTTGACCTGTTCCTAAAGCTTCAGTTATGGCTTTAAAAATTGGCCTGGTCCTATGGAAGAAAGACCACCATGTATTAAAGCGTTAGTTAAAATTAAGAAGGTGAGTAATAAATGCACAATAAATGCAGGCTGCTGTTGGAGGGATTGATTTTTCTGCTGCTTTCAGACCCCGATGCCCATAGTTGCTGATTAGAGGAGATGGAGGGTCCTTCTGAAAGAGGCTGGTTGCGGATGGATGGCTTCAGTGCCTGAGGGTGCTGGATGCCCTGAAGTAGGAAAGGAACTTGTAGCAGAGGCTCACCACAAAGTACCAGATGTTTCGAGCCATCTGTGACCTTGCAATGAAGATGCGCCAGATGATCACAAGAAGGGTGGTGTTGAATGCATATCGGATGTTCCTCAGCCTGAGAAAGAGAAAGAGGCATCTTATGGAGGAAGACAAAAACAACAAAGAGCTTACCATATTGCTTCATTTGCTACAGGTAATTCTGTAAGAAATCCTGTTTACAAGTGGCCCTTGGGCTTTTTGCCATTCCTATTTTAGTGAAGACGCCATGCCTAAGATGTCCCTGCCAAGGACACTGTTGAAGTTAGAGTATAGTGAATAGTTATTGGTATGGGTGGAATATCTGTATTGCAAGTCTCTCGTGTTCTGTGTACAGTCAGTATGACTGTTTTTCTGGTTTGAAATGAGCATTTTTATTTTATGATAGTCTAGGTCCAATACTTTCTGTTTTGATTTGGTATATTGGTCTTTATTCATTTGCGGGATTGGTAGCAGGCTAGAGGGCCTTTGCAGGAGATGATGAATAAGGTTCTTCCACTTGGGCAGAACCTTATTTTTAATGCTGGGAAATTACTCAATAGTCAGAAACAGTCTTCAATTTTGCAGTAACTGCAGAACAAGGGTTTGCGGGGGGTGGTTTACACCATATATTTAAATGGTATTACTGGATCGTTAAGATGTTAATCATAGACTTAACTAGGTTGGAAAAGACCTTTAAGATATCCCAGCTCTACCAAGTCCACCATGTTGTCCTCTTTCTGTCATGAAAGTTTCTGCAGTTTTTCAGTTCTCACTTTCTCAGTGTCTGACCAAGGGAAGAAAGCTTCATACCTAATGTCCCCAAGACTGGTTTAATTTTTGTAAGAGTCTTTTGGTAAATTTTCTCACTGCACTATACCACACTGCTTGTTTGGACAAGGTACTGGCCTATTACAGAGGTTCTTTTAAATCCTTAAAAAATTACCCGTGAATGAAGAATGTGTTTAGGGTTCCTTGCTACACCAACAGACTGTTTTATGCTTCTAGCATTTACAGTGCAGTAGAATGGTTTTCCTGAAGGAAACAACCATGCTCTTAGATAAGAGAGCTGCTCCTTGTGCCGTTGCCTGTACTTCTCAGTAAAAGGGTTGGACAAGACAGGAAGAGCATAATCTTTAACTGAATAGGAGGACAATCTCAAATTGCTCATTCAGGCTTTCTTAAACTATCACCAGGCATTGAATGCATAAGTGTTAGCTCTTCACTGATTTTGAGAAGTTTTGCCCATTCCCCCCCAAGGAATTAGAAATTTCAGTTTTACAATGAAATTTAAAATCATACAAATGCTTAAAGTTTTTATGCAACATCTTTAAATTGCTAAAACCTTCAAGGAGCTTAAGAAAACCTAAGTCTCACCCGTATTTTTTTGTTATAATTCTAAATGACCAAGAGCATCTGAATTCATGTATTCCTTTTATGCACTGTAACTTTGTTACTTGGTCATCCTCTGGGAAGGCATAGTATCTAGCCCCTGATCATTAGTGTCATCCTCTTTTTCTTACAGGATGGAAAAACGAAATCCTGACAACCCTCTCCTGTAAGAAATAAGCTATGCTGTGTTATTCAACAATAATTATTGCAATGTAACCAGAATAATTTTCCTCAAAAGCCGCTGAAGGTAGCCAGGAGCTCTTGTCCTTGTCACTGGGTATGACTTACTTTCGTAAGTGCTGCTTTGCTGCTGGAATGCCCGCCATGTCCTCATTTAGCAAGTACTTCTTAGCGCCTAGGCAGTAGCTTTCAATGTATTCTGACCAGTGCAGCTGACGAACATCAAAGTTGTATAACTGGGATTTAAAAACATAGAGCAGAAGTTAAATGGCAGACTTCAAAACAAGTTCACTGTAAGCACTTCACTGACCCCTGTTCCTGACAGGGCCCTCTCTCTGAACGACGCTCTTAAAGCCACCAAGTTTCCAAGAAGACATGGGTACCAACACACTGTATTTTACAGCTGTCCATTAATGTCATACCCAGATAGGAATCTGGGCAAAGTAAGCAGAAATTCAGTGCTAGCTGCTAGAAAATAAAGATAAGTTTGTCCATCAGGTGGCAATTTTTGCATAAGTACATGTATCTGTACACACACACACAAAACTGTGGAAGAAAAATGGCATTCCACTCAGGTAAATGGATTTGTATGAAAACCTCCATGCAGTTTTTAATGTGTTACTAGAATTATGTGTAAATAACTAAATGGGACATTGCAACAAGAAGTGGCTCCGCATCAGCAGGACTCTCTGCTGTGCTGAACTCTCAAGAGCTAGATCAATAGAAGTCCAAGAAATGGTTTACTCTGGTGTTTGGCACGAAGATATCTCATTGCAGAGCTGATTACCCAGTTCATTTCAGATGCTTATGCTGGAAAAAATGTTAGCAAGCTCTCAGGCACTTGTCTGTCCATTAAAGCAAAGAAAGCATTTGTAAAGAGGAAGAGTTTTTGTTGCAAATTTTTTACTATTATTCTTATCATCATTATCATTATTATTATTTAATGAATGAGTGAAGTGAATGGCATTTCTTATCTACAGGGTCTTAAAAGGGAAGATACTCAGAAAAATCCCATTCCAATCTAGGCTTAGGTGCAAGAGCTTTGGTATCAGACCAGCAATAGCTTGAACAGATGGGTACTAGCAACTATGTAGATCTTGATGCCTTTGTCAAGTATGTGTAGACATGTGACCTGCCCATAAACTCCCTAGCTTCAGTACTGCTCACAATGCAGCAGTGGCAACACTGGATGCGGTGCATCTCACAAAGTTCTCAGCTTGGTAAGCCTGAAACTCTTTTGAGCTTGCACCAAGTCCTTGATGCTGTATTTTTTTATTTACCTGCCTCAAAACTAGCTCCTATCATAGCACTGAGTTTCCCTCTACATCTGCTGTAGTGACAGCAGCGCCACTGCCTTTAGAAGTTAGAATTTGCTGCATGTGCTTCCGCTGCAGACTAGGGAAGAAAACTCTTGATTCTACTACTGGGAGTCTGCAGAAGAATTTCATTATGTGAGACCAGTTTGATGTGAATGCCTATGTATCTCTTTGCAAGGACCAAAGGTGCATTCACGCTTATTACAACGCTACTCTATTCCTTCAGGCTTTCCATTAGAATCCCATTCCTAAGGAGTCAATAGTTTCAAACCTTTGACTACAACAGAGCTTGGCATCCTGCAAATTAATGGCTCTCTGGGGACTTGAATAAAACAGGAACTTTTTTCATATTGTTCAGGGTAAGATACTATGTGTTAATTAAATTTCCCTGTGCAGTGCCCATTAAAACAAATGTGGTTGAAAATGTCAAAATCTTTCAAGTCATTTCCATCTAGATCACCCATCACAACTGGAAAGACTTCAGTGATTGACCTGTCTTGGAAGGAAGAGCAGTACACCTCAGGAGAAGACACTCTCCTGTAATAAATGGAAGGTTCCTGTTAAGTTTTTTTAATGAAACAAGGAGGAAATAAATTATTTCGGGTTAAAGTCAATTCCAGTTATCTGGATGTCATTTGAAAGCTCCACAATACACCAAAAAGAACTGCTGCAGATTAAAAGAACTGGAGATTAGCGATCCATATTTATTACCTTTTTGTCCTCTGTGTTGAGGTGACTCATTAACATATTCATATTCTCTGAAGACCAATCCCAGGACTGGGTGGAAAAATACTGCAGGAGTGTCATAGACTTGTGCAGTCGATTGATAATCTTCATCATTCTGAAACAAGAGGCATGTCGGAGGTGGACAGGAAGTCTGACATTATGCAAATGCTGTCGGTTTGCTCTGTAGGTGTTTTCACCAGTCCAGATTAATAGACATTTCAATTTCTGATGAGCACTGCACTGGTGCTGAGAACTTGCTCAGCAACACTACCTGCTCCAGCTGACGTCTTGAGCCTACAGTCATCCAGCTTTTATTCTTGGCTCAAACATGGGTGCAAAAATGCATTTCCCAGGGCAAGCCTAATGCCTAACTTACTGAAGTAAACAAGGGTTGGAGGCCACGTCTGCAGCATGTACCATCTGTGAGATGATGAGCCCATCTGAACTATTATGAAGTCTGCACAGCAGACAGCAAAACCACAAAGGTATACTGCTTGCCTCCTGAGGTGACTACTTCTTTTTCTACCATGGGCCCATCCTTCTAGGCTGTCAAGGTCACTCTGAACAGCATCCCTTCCATCTAGAGTATCAACCACACTACCCAGTTTGGTGTCATGCTTTTCATGTCTTTGGGCTTCTTTGATATCTCTCTCTCAAAAAATAACTTTTTATTAAAGGGCATTCCCCTCCCTGTATAATATTGTGGCAGTCTGGAGTATTTTTTGTGACCTTGAAAATCATGCAAGTCCATCAGATTTTATTTTGGGGGGAGTGGGTAGGGTGGGGTCTGAATGTCTTCCTGGAGTGTGAGCGTCCTGGTAAAGATGAAAGCTGCTTTGGGCGCAGAGCTGCTTAACAGGAACTTTGTAAATGTAGCTTCAGGTCTCATGTGTCTTGGCCTTTTTTCTGTTTCTCATTTTTCATATAAAAGGGGGTGACAGTAATGCTGTCGCACCTTGCAGGATTATTTTACAGTTGTCCCAATGGTCATGAGTATAAAAGGCCTTTGGCACTTGTGTAATGTACAGTGCTCAGTCAATTTTGAGAGACCACCACATTCTCTCAGACTGGATACGGGCAAGAGAAAGCATTAAAAGGCTGATTTCTGTGGCAAACAGAGCGGCTTTCATGAGAGGTTTCGAGCTGCCCGGAGGGTTACACAATTGCTGTTGACAAATAAAAGGCAGCAGTCTGGTAAGAATGGTGCCAGGCTGGGCTCTCACCATGCAGATGTGACTGCCACAATTATAAGCACTAAGCACAGAAGACGACATAATGAGTACATCAGTTCAGAGGAGAACTGCTCAGTTTACCCAAAGTGAATTGAAAGATCCCTAAAACCTCCTAGGCACTCCTACTCAGCATTAAAGTGCTTTTCATTTTAGAAGCAAGCACACCATCAGATGAAGGGAACCTTCATTCTGAATAATTATGTGCACATTGATTGAATGCAGTTTATCTAAACTACTTTAAAATTACCACAGATTAATTTTCCTCATTATGCCTGTGTAGGCAAGTACGATGAGACAAAGCTTTGCGAATTATTTTAATACCTTTTAGGAACCTGGGAAAGAGAGTATATGACTAGACTGCAGAGATCTGAGGTTGCCCCTCAAACTGGCTCCCCAAAAGCCATGAGGGTATTTAAAGAGCTTAGGGGTAATGGAATCTGTCAGAAAGAAATTATAAGAGAATCAACTGTGTGTCCCTACTTATGTTTTGAAAATAGGTATCCACATGGCCTCCTCTCAATGCGGACAGAATAAGCTGTGACTGTAGATCTATCCAAAGCAACATTTCTGAGTGGCTAAAAGTAAGGGTAAAAAGAGAAGTGAAGCACCTGAAGAGGTGTGTATGAAAACCATGTTTCATGTTAACTGACTGAACTCAAATGTGACGACATTCAAAATACTGACTAATTTGGATGAAGAAGTGGTCTACTGAAAAACATCAACAAGCTTTTCTGTAGCCTCAGAGAGGCTATGGGAAAGATTTCTTATACAAAATCTCATTCTCCACCATGAAGGAAGTGGGAGTTATTAGTTGTCACTTCACAGCCTTATTAGTTACACTTTGAAAGGCATCCTGTCTTCTAGAAAGCTGTTGACAGCAATGATTTCTTTATTTGCTCCCATACTGAGCCTTGCATGAGCAGGCTCTCAGGTACAACAGACTGCCCCAGGAGACTACTAATGATATAAAACACATTATTTCCCATGTCGTGGATGGATGCGCAGCAATAACAGTAAGCCATTCAGGGAAGTTTTGCTACACATCTAGCAATTTGTGAAATGATCTAACGCTTAAAGTAAACTTCTCAGGAGAGCCTTCTGAAGCTGAAGGAGATAACTCCTGTACCTACCCTTTGGTATCAGCATGTGATAACCACAGATCTGAAGACGATCAGGGACTCCAGGCTGAGGCAGTTCATTCTCAGAAATTGGAGATCTGCTCTCCATAACAGTGGCAGGCATGCAGGAGGCTGAAGGCGTGTGGTTTCTTACCTGGGCTTTCTCCCTGTGAGCCTCATGTACAGGTCATAGAGTATGGCTGGAGCCTTGTGACTGACAGTTATCCAGTACTGGTTTATCAAGTAGTTGGACGTCAAGTGAGCATTGGGTGTTCGGAAGGCCTGCTCCAGCGGGTTCCTTTTGAATGTGGACATAACATACTGCTCTGTAAAAGAACAGGCATTTAACTTAAAATCAGGGACTTAGTTGAGCACAACCATACCAACATGCTGGAGTAAAGCCCAAGTTACAGAGCTTAACATCTTTACTCTACAGTTCCACAAACTTTGTAACCACGGACTGGAGAAGGTCATCTCATGGCCTCTTCTGGCATTAAAATTGATGACTCCATCTCTATTGCCTATTTGAAACACAATCTGACTCTAGACTTAGCATCAGCAAACAAAAAATTCCTTATCAAAACACCAAAATGTAATGGAAGAAAAGCATGCAGTTGTAGCCTCAAATGCTTCAAAACAAGGAACTGCAGTTCTGCTTTCACCTGCAGCAGAGCAAATTGGTAAGTGTTAACATATCATCACATCACTGAAGGCAAAAGTTGATCTGCTAGCATAAAACAAAAATGACATTTCTAATTTTTAATCTGATTTTCTAAATGGCTGATGTCAAGATTAGTCTGAGTCAGAGACCATGGTTTAGTGGTGGACTTGCAAACATAAAGTGCTGCTTCTAAGACTTCACTGTATCCTTTCAAACCACATCTGACCCACAACACCAAATACCTCAGCCTGTTTTCAGATGGGCCCTGAATGCACTAAAGCAGTAAACTGTCTTGGATTTTTAACTTAAAAACTAATAATAGAGTAGTAATCTTTCATTCCTTTTTTATGCTAAGGCACAAATATGTTGGGTCTGATTCTGAGCTCTTGCAATACCAGAGAAGTGGCATCTAGATGTGCCTATCTGGGGCATTTACATATTGCAGAGGCTTAATAGAACTGCAGTATTTCAATATCAGACTATCATCCTAGGGACTGATAAACAGATGGTGCTCCTATTCCTGAGCACCAGTGAGCTCAACAAAGAAGAATATGTGGGCTTTTTCTACTTAAAAAAAAAAAAGAATTTGAGAGTTACAACACCAATCTGTGCTCATATTCTAGTTTACTCTCTAAGCTTATGTTACAAATAGAAAATCAGATGAAAATTTGCAAGTCACAAGAAACATCCAGATCATCCTCAGATAAGCAGATTCCAATCATAATATTCAGACAGTAGTCTCATGTATCCGTGGTCGGCTCATTACTGCACTTCAAGTAGTGACTTGCTTTTTTCAAGTAACAGCAACTAGAGGAGACTTTTTAGCTGACTTTAGACAAACTTTTAAAATAATACAATTTAGTTTTAGTGCAAATTCATTGTTATTTTTTGCGTCCTTATGCTGCAAATTTAATGGCTTCTCCTGAAACTCATCTTGCAACTGAACAGCAGTACTGACTGCCATTCCTCCTGATTCATGTAGCCACACTGCAATGGTGTGGTTATATTGTGGTCATCTTGTGGGCTGAGGTATGGAAATCTTATCCTTTGCAGCATGTTCTCTCAAAATGGCAAGGATTAGCTACAAACTCCTGTTTAAACTTTCCCAGGTAGTGTGCCTGGCAGCGAGCGTTTGCTGGAGCAGTTTTGGATATTTTGGAAAGGTGTTTATTCCTGGCAATAAGCAGTTTGGGATGGGCTGCTAGGAAGGAAGCCATTGTCTTGGCCCAGCTCTAGGCAGAGTTTGTGTCTGTCAAAGCAGAGTGTGAGAGTTTCTTTCCTCTGGGTTAGCAGCATTGCTATTTACTACAATTATACTTTGTCAAAGTCATAGCTGGCTTAAATGTAGAGATCTGCTCCCAGTTTGGAGAGGGCTGTGTATCTCTGGCTATTCAAGTAGTTCATGGATCAGAAAAGCAATCCCATGCGCTCTGCTACTCATTCCCTTAAGGAATTTTCTCCAAGAGGCACTTTAAATCCCAGTTTATTTATAAACTCTCATCTGCTTATCAATATTTAAGTTAATTTAGTTTCATTTGATCACTTCATTCCATAATAGAACCCTACTAGTTTAACAGGAAACCACTGATATTTTGGAACTGTGATTCTTTTTTTTAATGTTGTCTGCAGCATATAGTTATAGCTCTGTTTATTCAAATCCTGCTGTTAATATACTGAAGATCTACTTTTCAGTTGTAAACTGGTTGAGAAGGTTTTCTTTTGCAACCATGTTAAAGACATTACTGACTCCCTTTTCTCTTTGCATTACTGGCATCCTTCACCAGGACTGCAAGAAAGAACTAACCAGTAAGTAGAAAATGCAGCTCTTGTCATTTCAGATCATCAGCCCTTACACCAAGTTCACATAAATCAACAACATCCTTATCATCTTGGCTACTTGAAGCTTGTAGCAGAAAATGCAGGTGTAGTAAAGGAGCTGCAGTATTATGCAGTGATACTACTTGGTGAGAGAAGCACCTATGTCAAGAGCAGATGATGTATCTGCTGAAAACTCAAGAAAAATTCTGCAAGTTAGGAATGAAAGTGGTTTTGTTCTAAAATACACATAAGAAGGCAGTGAGACCAACTTGAAAGACTTACTGAAGGAAGCTGGTAAAACACCAGCATTGTGTAACTTGGAACAGCTAATGCCACAGGTGTTTTCTCTATGAACCTCCCTTACCCTGGCTTACACTGTCTTAGCACAATTGCTCTGTTTCATTTCTGGATAGTGTTCAACTTCACAAGCTGCAATAGTCTGTATCAGAAGGAGACAGAAAGAATCAAACAGACAGACAGATTGGTCAGGGAGGCAGAAAATCCTGAACTAGAATCATACCATCTCTAGGAGCTAATTCTACAGTTCCAACAAAGGCAGATTTAGCAGGGGAAAATCAGACACCACTCTTGCCTAGGTAGACTGTTAAGGATAAATTAGAATTATGTTTTCCCATGCTGAACAGCATTTTAAAGCCTGCCTTATGATTTAGAGGAGGAATTGCAAAATGTACTTCATAAAGTCATACCAGCAAGACTTCCACTGCAGCCAAGCAGAATACGCTTCTTCAGATTAACACTCAGTTGTTTGACCACATATTTGTAATAGCAGGGAAAGTAACAAGAAGCCAGAAAAGCCAGAAAAAATCCCAAGGCACAGCATTATTTGGAAAAGACGTAAGTCAGTTAAAGGTTCCTTTTAACACTAGAGGTTTGTCTGTATCTGGAGATCTGTAGAATAAATTGTTTTACAATGGATGTTTAAGCATGAACTCTTAAGTATACATTTATTTTTCAAATAATTATCTTCTAGATCTCTTTCTCCTCCCTCCCTTCCTCCAAGCTCATCATCTTTGTACTCAAAATGTTCTCATCTCAGCACTTCTCTTTGTTACCCAGGGCATCCTTAGCCCAATCCAGCCTCAGTGTCTCTGATCTTCCTCTTATTTCCTCCTCTCCCCCTCAAAAAAGAAATCTACTCTGTTGTGTTTGCCTGTCGTTCCTACAGCTGGTCCTGTTGTAGGTCTTCCTGACCACATAGCCCAGGTTGCCCCCTCCACAAAACCCATGTTTGAGTTGCACTAAAATGCTCAGTCCCACACCAGATGACTCCATTCCCCACCCTTGTTTCTCAGCAGCTTCCAGTCTCACTCTCACAACCCTCCACCTCAGCGATCGCTTACAGACCCTGTGCCAGTCTGGCCTTCCCAGACTCCCCTTCCCTCTGCTGATCTTGTGTCTCCTGTATATTTGGATCAGCCAGTTTCCTTCATGCTGGGGAAAAAGCAATTTCGAAGCTGAAAAAACACTCGAGTAGAGACCTGGCCTCAATTATTTCAACCCGAAAGGCTGGCAGAACTAAACACAGAAAGAGACAGGCTTTCAAAAACAGTAGGTGGCAACTCAAGTAACAGATGCTGTCCCATTGGGAAGGAGGGAACTAGTGAAATTTTGTCCTTCTGTGTAAAGGATGGACTACTTAGTGGTAGATCTTATTTAAGAGATCATGAACCATAAGTCCTGTTGGAGTGCAAGCCATGGGACTGGCTGCCTAGAAGCCAAAAAATAGCTGAGTAGAAAGAGAAAGTAATATGAATGGGTTGTGAAAATCTGTCATATATATAAAGATTTTAGGATTACGAGCATTTACAAAAAGACATAGAAAACAATTGAGAATTTAAACAGGATGGCTGCAGGTGTAACATTCCAATGCAATAAACCTTCCCCAAACTCATTTCTTAAACCATGCAACATCTTTGAGGACCGAATTTTGCTCTTTGATACTCCATACTAATTCTCTTCAGCCTGCTGCTCTCAGGAAACTGTGGATACATGTGGTACAAGGAGTTCCACAGTGCCAGTAAAGGAGAAAATTCCGTCTTCAGTCCCATCACACAGCTGAACTGATTATGCAAACTTCTGCTGCACCCAGATGATTTCATTGCTAAATCCAGTTATAAGCAAAGTAAAATAATAACACTGATTATAATGCATTAATACATTGCTGTTTTCATCAGTAAAATGATGAAACCCACTGAAAATGGGTTAAGAAAGCCAAACCTCAGATAGTATTGCAAAGGTGGCTGTTGTGTGAAGTCACAACCTGTGAAGAGCTTTGCATTTAATCCTGGGAAGAAGTCACAGAAGATCTGTGACTAATCACAGTGCTGTATCTCTCATTGAAAAGACTGCCAGGAACTTGGTCGATGTACTCACCACTCAGCCAATTGCTGAAACCTCATCCCTGCTAGATCACTTGATCAAGTATCACAATTAGGACATTAGTGGGACTTTCACAGAAGCCTTGTTCTGAAATGCAATTATACAGGCTGAGAAAATTTGGGCTGCTCAGCCTGGAGAAGAGAAGCTGCATGGAGACCTCATGGCAGCCTTTCAGTATCTGAAGGGGGCCTACAAGGATGCTGGAGAAGGACTCTTCATCACTAGGACAAAAGGTAATGGGGGAAGTTCAGGTTAGATACAAGAAAGAAGTTCTTTTCTGTGAGGGTGGTGAGGTACTGGAACAGATTGCCCAAAGAAGTGGTAAATGCTCCATCCCTGGCAGCATTCAGTGCCAGGCTGGACAGAGCCTTGGGTGACACTGTCTACCATGAGGCGTCCCTGCCCATGGCAAGGGGGTTGGAACTAGATGGTCTTAAGGTCCTTTCCAACCCAAACCAGTCTATTAGTGTATGTTCTGATTCTTTGCTGACTTACTGTTTGCCACTTAAAAAGTGCAAAGACAAATGAAAAGCAAAAGCTGAGAAGTGAAACACATAGCAGTGACCTGCCAGCTTCCTGTATTTAAAGCCCAATGATATGAATGAATGTATAACAGAAAGCATCTCAGGCCTTGAGTCTGTACAACTCACTGACTATATGTAGTATTTTACAGCTGAGCAAATTCTGCTGCTTGGCTTCAGGAAGAGTTTTCCACTGTAAGGGTGTCAGGATTTGTCTTGCTTTTCCTTTACCCCTGCCTTGAAAGCATATCCACCTGAAGAAAAGTCAGCCATGAAAAGAATATGAATCCTTCTACTGAAAGATTCATGATCAAAACTCAAACTGTTCTTGAAGCACACCAGGTATTTCAAGATTTGCCTTCTCAAGTCTACACCAATTATTTCTGTTTAGAATTTTCTGCATAGAAAGAGGAAGAATGGCTACTTTACTTCCATAATATACTAGTTTTCACTTACTGTAAAGGTTTTCCAAGTGATTTTAAAGCACAGAAAGAACCCCAAAACTAGCAATCAGAAAAGGAAGATGTCCTGCTGTGGCTACAGAGAGCATCTTCTCATACAATTAAGGGGCTGGTACTCTATTCTTTTTTCCAACACTTTCATACCTCTGTGCAGCAAAGCACGTATTTTGCTGGTTTGTTGTGTGATTACACCCACAATGAAAACTGAATAGATGCTTTCCTGAGCTGAATGCCAAGCACCAGCTGCTTTTGCTCACCGGACCCTCACTGCCTGCAGCTGGGCCTCCCACATGCAGCTTAAATGGCACTTAAATATAGGAAACCACCTTTTCAAAGCCTGGCAGAGAAATGCTATTGACCTTTGACATGTTCTAGATTTAAATTAGATCTTACCCATTTCTCCCCAGAAGAAAGGGTTGATTCCACCTGTTGTGCAGTTGTACACCAACATGTTTTTTGGTCTGGAAAAGAGAAGTATTATTTTAAGCTGTATTAGAAAAGCACCCTAAGCTTGAAGTAACAGAACATGAAATCTAACAGCCCAAGAAACAGTAACATCAGCTCATAAAAAATTATACTTTTCATAAATATAAAAATGCAGTATAAAATACAAAGTTTTGGTAAGATCCAGTCTGATTCTGGAAAGTAGATGAAGTTAGTAAAGACAGTTGAGGTTTAATAAAAATAATCCATATGTAACTCATGAAAAGTTAGAAAACCAATAGGCAAAGTGTGCATACTGACAAATTTCTGATCACATTTTCCCCCCAATAGTTTCTCTAAGTATATTGTAAATAATTGGCCCAAGCCAACCTCAGGGACACACTGTATTTTACAATCATTTTCTTAAAGAATATGATTTTTGCTACTTTTTAAACTCCATTTGTTATGGTGGTGATTATGAATCAATCCATTTCATCAAAATTCTCATTTTAATATAAAGTCTGGTTGTTACTTGGGCATGGAACTAAGTATTGATTACACTGGTTTCATGTCTTCCTTTAATATAAGACATGACCAGCTTTTTCAACTTAAACCTGCCTTGCCAAGGGTGCAAGTGATCAACACAGCATTTTTCTTACTCTGCATTAGCAGCTGAAGCCAAAATGCTAAAAGAAGTGAGATCTGGCCTTGAACAGGGGACAGCAGCTTGGCTGGAAGATACAGCATCTCAGTGCATCTAAGGTGCCTGTGGTGTTTAGAGCCTTTCTCCACTGGATGAGACTGAAGAGACCAGGAGAGAGAACCCCTAAACCTGGGATAGGAAATCTCACACAGCAATATTTGAAAACTGCATTTGGGTAATGCATTTTTAATGGTGCTTTTATTAACAGTGCTTTGATATCATGGCATTAACTGTGTATTAGCATTATTATAATCCCCAGCAGGCTTCTAGGGATGGTTAGTACTGATAGGCATGTGTTAGGCTCTGAATCTATGATCTCCCATAACTTTGAATTACTGAGTAGAAATCTGATAGAGTGTTAAACAAAAACGCTCAGGAATGCTTTATTTGGGAAAATGCATCATTGAAACAATACGGCAACTCACTAAGGATTAAATCAGTAATACGTGCCCATGTAGAAAACTCACCTAGTACTACACACATAGCCTGATGGAAAGTGCACTGAAGTGAAAGCACAGACTTCCATTTACTCCAGTGGGTCAGGGCCATTAAACACCTTGAAGAGATTTCCACTGAAGAATATCTCCTTGTTGATTTTATTCCCTTCTCCACTCTCCAGCTCAGTCAGTGACCTTGGTAGAGTGCAGAGCTTTGTAGACACTTCTACACTATGTACTGAACATTGCAATTCTCTGCTAGGTTTTAGAATCTAATTTCTGTTGATAATGTCACATACCCTGAAGGATACTCACTTTCTGATTAGATGATTGCAAAAAAATTAAAAATTAAACCATACAAGCTATTTTTCAAGACAGCACCTAAACCCAAAACAGTCTGAAAATCAAATTTACAGAAGGCTCAGGCTCTTGATTTTTGTATACAGATTGCTAACCTTGGCGTTCTGCCTAGGTAGACAAAGCCTTAAATCAAGTTCTGCAATTGCTCCTTTAGCCTGTAATTATTTGTGTGGGAACCAGATTAAAACCATGTATCTTTTGCCAATGAAAAGTCAGAAAAGACGTTATTTCTTCTACCATGGCCAGAGCCAGGAATTCTACTTGTGTGCTGACACTGCTCATGAGCATGTGTTCACCTCCTTTTCCAGCTTTATGAACTAGCTGTAGCCCTCTTCATCTGAAGGCTCTCAGAGGTGTATGTATGAGAAGTTGTATTTATTTTTCCCAGTCCATGTTGCTTTGGCTGTTGCTGATGGAAAGGCACAAAACAATGAGATAAATAAATCTGGAGAGCTGATGAACTGCCTTTTAAGATCCTTTTAGGATCCCTGTATTTAGGTTACTGTAGGCGGCTCTTCCTCAGCTCAGAGGGCTTACTCTGTCTTTCAGAGTAAAATACTTATGCCTTTTATTTGTCTGGTATTGATTTCCCAGAATTGCATAAACATCCAGAGTTACTAATGTGGTTTACTCTGAAGCACTTCCTACCTAATGATTTAAGGTCAGAATCAAAGGTTCACAGGAAAAGAGCATAAATCCTTAATGTCACTTACACATACCCTTCTAAATAATGACAAGAATGGAGGTTTTTTAGATCATGTCCCCTATCATATGAACTCATATTTATATTGTGTTTTCCAAGGAAAATGCAGTGCATTTTCACCAAGGAAACTCTGGGTGAGAAAATGTGAACCAGAAAATGAATCAACCAGGCTCTCACACAGGTTTTCAATTAGCATCTGGCTCCCTTTAGAGTCCCAGTCCAGGTAATAAATGCCCAAGTCTGGCACAACAGGAGTGCCTTCCTACCTGTGCACAGCAGTGTACCACCCAGCTGCAAGGGTGAGGTTGATGGCGACGTCCACTGGGATCATATCTGCCACTGCTTCGTTGTTGGCAATGACAGTCCGGAGAATCCCTTTGCCTGCCTGTGGAACAAAGGAAAACAGTCACTAATGTAAGACCATGGTAAAATTTCATCAGCTTGGACTAAGGAAACACTGTCATGTTGGCACTTTTAAAGTCTGGCACCTGTTGCAGAAGAGTATTTGGTTTCTGTGGAAACAAAGATGGATCCCAATATTCTGTGTAATAAAACACAGTGAAGCTGAGGACCCAGTGAAAAAACCTGGGAAGATAAAAGCAAGGAATTTTCATGAGCTAAGACTTCCAAGCATTCTCATCTCATCCTTGGTGCAGCTGGCAGAGGGACTGTAGACAGACTCAGAAATAGGCAAACATATAAGTTTTCCTGTATGACTCCATCCCCCTCAAACCCATGGCATGCAGTTAACTTCAGCTGCCCTAAACTGAACCTCAGCTGAACCACACATATGCTTAGAGATTGAAACATTAACCTGGGAAACCTGGAGCATCCTCTTTTTTTGTTTTTCTTACTACTTACTACTGTTCTAACTACTATTTTTCAAGGGATAAAAAGCAAAAAAGAACCGAAGGAAGCCATCAAGCTTAGCCATGAATTTTCCACTGTTGTGAAAGCTGTGTGATCAACTACCACATTTTTATAGGTACACTGAAGACCTGTTTGAGGTCTTCAAAACTAGAAAGTTTGATGAATGTGCTGCAGACATGCCTGTATTCAAGCAGCATGTGATGGTCATATACACGTGAATGAATTAGAGATTTCATATATTGTGTATTTACTAAAGACTTCAGGTTTGAGTGTTTTAAGTTACTTTATACACTGGAAATGGTTTGGTGCTCCTTTAAAAGGTATGTCTTGATTTCTCTTTATAGCTGCTGACTGTTTTCTCTTTAGTGAAGTAGAAGCTACTGCAGCTGAAGCCTCCAAAATCATTTCCCAGTCTGAGCCTGATGTTTCTGGACAGCCTCCCAGCTGAAGCGCTTTAGGGCAAGTCATTGTCCAGAACATAACTTAAATCACTGTTCTGCCTTACAGATCCACTGCCTTGCAGGGAAGAAGGTCTTCACATGTAATATGGAACAGTGAGACAAAACGCCTCAATTACAGTCCAGTGGAAATGTAATTAATTTCATTTTGTTCTTCAGTCAACAAAGCTTCTCCTCACAGCAGTTGAAGCAACTGTAGGCAAAAGAAACATAATCACATTACCTAGAACAACCTGAACTCCCATATTTCATGAATATTTAAAAGAAATGTATCTATTTATGGAATGAAATGATTAAACTCAAATACTGTATTGGTGGCTGAGGAAAAAAGTCTTCACAAGATCTGGAGTTCGGATTCTTCCTAAATGATCCCAAAGACCATCTGAACCAAATCTGAGTCTGGGGGTTGTCCTTCATACATGATGAACTTGGGCTGGAAGTTAAAATTATTTTGGTATGGGGGAGACACCTTAAAAAAACAAACAAACTGACCACCAAAATACTTTGCTTTTGCTTTCTCCATCCTTAATTAAGGCAAACAAAGCTACTTGAGTAATAAATACAGTTTGAAGCCAAGACAGCTGGTTGTAACCACACAACTTGCAGGTAATCAAGCTCAGATGGTAATCATAACTCAGATGTTGAGGGGTTAATTTTCGAACTACCAAACAGGAATTACCAATTCACCATATCCAAGCACATTTATTCAAACCATGCATTTATTTCCCTCACCCCCACCCTTTCTCCAGAAGAGCAGAAGTGTCTTGGGCTCCCTAATAATAAAAAAGTTTTCACTTCCAGATAACTTGCACCAGTCCAGCTAAGTTCAGTAGCAACTGGAGATGGTAAAAAACTGTCTTGTCAGCACTCCCCACATGCTTCTCCACATCACAGCCTCTGCTCCTGACTGATACTAGCCAACGCTGGTGCCCGTAAGACCAAAGAGCTGCTGGACACAACAACCTGGTGTGTGCACCCTGCACCTATTGTCATTGCTGTTTGGTTTTTTTTTAATTGGTTAAGTCTTGATATATTTACATATCAAATCATCACATTTCATCACTGGAGAGCTTAGTGCAGATGACATGAATTTCATTATATCTTTATTTCCTATGCTGACAAACCTCAAGAGTTTCAATCCTGAACGAAAAATGCCATTTCTGTTTCAGAACTCTTTCAGTGCAAGTCAAAGCTTTTATATAAAAGGGAAATTATTTACTACACTGTGGAGACAGTGTTCTCACAGGAGAATGGATAATTGGTACATAAACTCTGAATAATCCTGAAAGATACAGCAAGGCCGTGAGAGGCCCAAGGAAGCTTAAGCAAGCAAGATAAGAAGCTAGAATTCACTGATGTAATGAGAACTGTGGACTGTTGGCAAGTCTTCGAGGTCAAGTTCTCACACCTGTGCTTAACCAATTATATGCTAGTTGCAAAGGGTCTTCAGGACATGTATCCAATCATAATATGCCAAATCACTGTAAGTGCATGTAAGAAATAGTATTTAAGGGGTTAAGACTTTGTGATAAACGGCTTTTGTCTGCTCATATTGATCTCTGACTGAGTCCATGTATTTTCTGCGGCACTACACTAACCCTAGAATCTCAAAACCTTTACTTTCCACAGAGTTAATCTGGAGATAAAGGTACAAGCTGGCATCTGTGTGTGAAACATGGCCTGAGTGAAGCAGCCATTAATTCTGTTGCTGCATTCAGGAGGGCTAGAAAGTTTTTGCTTTGAAGAACAGAAAATACTAGTTCCTGGTATGTGTGGCAAAAGAGCTAAGCATATAAAATATAGGCAAGCTCTAGTCTAGTATGTAATGCAGACACTATTAAAAACCTGACATATGGACAAAATTTCCAAATACTTAACCATTAGTTGTTTTTTAACTTGTTGGCAGATTAGGAAAAAATAAGAGGGAGGAAATGCTTTTTAAATGACAAAGTATTTGATTGGCATGTTTTTATATAGCTGAAAACACACAAGTTTGGCCTGTGTTTTCTAACATACTGGCATATGATAACATCTATGACAGTTAGCTGCTGTAGTTTGTCACTTAGGTCATTCACTTGTGGGGAACAAAGAGCAATGCAATCGAACTCTTTTGTATGACATCCATCTTGCAAACCAATTCTGGATGAATTTTTGTTACAGACTAATGCTCAAAAGTAATCATAAAAACATCAAAACTCACAGATAACAATACAAAAGTTAGAACCTATCACATAAAAATGTAAGGAGTGGATCTGCAAAATGAAGTAACTGCAGAACTTTATCGTGATGAGAACATCATGAATGAAACACTGAAAACAGTACAAGATGCTGTGAGTAGAGCAGAGCGACAGTACCAGCTTTATGAGCAGTCAGCAATGAGTAAAAGGCTGATGGATAATTATTTTAAAGAAACTGTGACAGGAATAGAAGCTAATAACACTTTGTGAATACAAGTTATGTGTTTTGGGGGCTTTTCAATGTCTCCGAAATGTGGGGTTTCAGATAAAAGCATTAGCTGGGATATACCCACTAATTTCACCGGCCCTGTGGATGCCAGTAGTAACTGTAACAGTTTCTATTTATGCTCTACTTCAGGTATAAGTGAGCTTTTCTAACAAGATGATATTTGGATTTTATTCTGCTCTCCTATCATTCTAGACTATTAATCCTTTTATACACACTGCAGCAGGCTGATTATAATAAATTTTTTACAAAATAATCAAGTTGGACAAATCATACATGAACAAAAATATCTGCCCATAGCTATACAGCATTATGTAGTGACAAACAGACCCAAGGCAACATTTTTAGTTCAGAAACAAATACAAGCCAGGAGAAGAGCTACACAACTTTTCTGTTTTCGTATGTTAAATTGTTAATGATTGTTTTCATATTACAGGCAATATTTTACCAAGTTATTCATTATTTCTCTGATGGGTTTGTTCCTCACCATTTTGCACAGTAGTTATTTACACCGGTGTTAAGCAAGGATATAGTGAATTATCCATGTGACTGGCAGTGTGTGAACTGATAGTTACACACATTACTTGGGTATACTCTGCACATGGGCAAATGCTGTATAACGCAATGGCAAGTGAGACCCAGAATCTTTGTGATTTGGAATGGTCACAGACTATAGCAATGGACTTAAAAGCAATACATATGACAGTAAATGAAAGGATAAATAATGCTGCCTTGTACTGATGGTATGGCTGGCCTGGGAAACTAAGTTCTGTTATAAGACTCAAGTTTTGACACTTGTGATTTACCCTGCTTTCAAGGATGCATCTTTTGCCCTTTCCTTGAAAATTTGCCCAAATTTGTCCAAAACTTTACTTTTTTTCAGAGTTTTTAGAGGCTGTAATTCATGTTAGTGAACCAGCAACATGAATACTTTTTCAACGTCCTTTTTTGAGCACAGCATAAACAGGCAGTCTTTTGGGTCCTACATGCATATAAATGTATGGCAAGTGTGTGACATCTTTCTACAAGATTCAGAAAACTGCTATGATCTTTTTTCACACACTGTTTCTCAGTGGGGTTGTAGAGTAACTTTACAGTTGCTATTTTAGGCACTCAAATTCCACTTTAAGGGGAACTTAAATAGTAACCATAACATACCGCAATAAATATTCCACTTGTGCCATTGAAGTTGTCAATCCAACCCTGCAAAAAAGAACAATGATTACTACTTCTTTCAATGACATGTTGCTTACAGTGGCTTTGAAATGGTCAAAAGCTGTAATGCTGTGGTGTAGACAAAGAAGCAACCAGTCACAATGGGTGCCAGCCTATCTGGGACAGCTGCCAGGAAGCTAACCAGTACAAAGTACCTAACTGATTTTAAATAGGGGATGCACTGTATGATACGTCATTCTATCTGCAATTTACCAATCAACAACAAAATCTAATTTTGTTTTTAGAAACCAATTATTTACTATTATAACTTGGCTACAGGAATAAACTCTGGCTTTAAACACTACAGCGTCTTGGTGCTGTCACACTTGCTGAAAATGGTCAGTGTTGTTATATACCCTCTGACAGACAACATGCAGATGTCACCAAGACTGACTTAGTTACTCCAGCTAATATCTAAGGCAACTGCCACTTGCGGGAGCTAGAGTTAAAAGCAGTGATGAGCTGTCTGACCTGAAACAGGTTATGACACCTAACAGAGTTCACTTTGTCTTTCCAAGATGGGAGGCTTGGCTTAGAGCCTTGGCTGTATCTGAGCCATCTTTGGCAGGCTTCAAGCTGCATGAAAGCCAAAGGTGACTTCATGTTGCCTTTGCAGTTTGGCTGCAATGTTAGGGCACATTATTCTTACCAGTATGTTTAGCTTAGTGAATTATTTCAGTCCAAAAGTACTGCTATATTTAATCACTGTGTGGCTGACATTTGTATCTGCAACAGGCCTATGCAAGTGTGAAACCAGAAAGTTCAGTGACTACCAACATAAGACAGAGATACTGCACATGACTATCAAATGCTTTCAAGGACCATGTGAAGTCATGTGCACATCAGGATCTCATTAGTAGGCTAACTAGACCATGGAAAGACTCAAAGCAGAATGCATTAGGACTATGACCGACCCTCATATCTTGTGTTTCCCCAGTTAGTACAGAAACTCCCCTGTGTGCCTGTCTGGGCATAGTCCTCTGCCTGTAAGACTGTCAGCTGCAAGTCCAACATTCTGCACCATTATTATCCCAGCCTTGTTATTATTGCTTAAATGTGTTCTTTTCACTTGGAGACAAGATTTTTTCCTGAAGATGTTGAAGAAGTCTTGCTGTTCTACTCCAGCACAGGTCTTTTACCTCTTCCACATGTTTTCCTATGAACTGGAGTACCTGTTTCTCAAGCAGGTAAGTAGGTAGACAAGTAGGTACAAGTAAGGAGAGATTCCTGACAGTGCTGCAGCTGCAGCAGTATCACAGAATCACAGAATAGTTAGGGTTGAAAGGACCTTAAGATATCTAGTTCCAGCCCCCCAAATTGCTCTCAGCAGAGAACTGGTATATATTAATACTTACTGGGAAAGGCTCATGCCAGCTAGCTCCCACAATGGATGGCCTGATGATAGCAATGTTCAGGTTTCCTTTCTCTTGCTGAATCAGGTATTCTGACAAGGCTTTGGTGTAGGTATAAGTGTTAGGCCAGTCACCAAGCAGCTTGGGTGTAATGTCTTCAATGATAGACTCATCCAGCCACCTACAGAAAACAAGGAGACCATCATTATCTGCTGTATAGGGAGAGAAAAGACAGGAATACTCACCTGAAACAAAGAATAAGCCAGTCAAAGCCATTTAAGACAAAGCAAGGAGCAACTGGTTTGGATTTAGAACAGCTCTGTGGGAGAAAGGTTACTTTTGTCCTCAAAGTGCAAAATAACCCTTGTGAGCTTCATGCTATGCTGTCCAGCTCAACTTCAGGCATCTACACAATCACATTGTAAAGCAATCTCTTGTGTGCTTTATGCTTCACTGCGATCTGTAACAAAAATATAGCAGTGGTCTGATTGAGGTTTCCAGCCAAGCACTCTAACCAGGCAGCGCTCAGCGTAGCCAACACAGTCCCTATATACTCCCAAGTACATTTCATGAGATTCCTGGTAACCTTGAGTTCCTGAATTGAGTAGCATTATGAAGGTCTCAAAAGCTAGAACAACATACTAGATGGATAGTATTCTAGTAGCACTAGAAACAGTGTTAAATGATCCTTCCTACCTGTTTTCCACAGGCTTGTTGACATAGGGAGTTAGGAAACTGTCAGTGCTAGCTAAGTAAAAAAAAACCAAACAAAAGTATTTTGTTTTTTGAAACAAAACCACCCCAGTGAGTATTTTTTTTAAGGTATTCGGGTATCTAATCCATCAGAAGTAGTTATGCATATACCTCTTAAAAAGTGGCCCTCGCTACTGCAGTGCTACAGTGATGGCCTAAGGCTCACAGGCTCTTTCCCTGGCACACCTTCAAGACATCTCTGGTCCTGCCAGCATTTGGGTCTAAAGGACAGGAACTGGACGTACTTCCAGAGCCCTTGCACTCTGCTGCCAATCCCTGACAGGCTTTCAGCAGTCTGGTGTTACACCACAGAAACAAAGATTAACTCCTATAATCCAATTTGTAATTAAGTCAATGGAGTTCAGACTGAACTGCTGTGCTCTTCCCAGGGGCATTGCAAGGATACTGTTCCCTGCATATCCCCACTTCACCCCTCCTTATCCTGAATTTCAGAAGCAGGTGGAGGTCAAGGGGAGAGGAATGAGGTTGAAACTGGCACACCTGAAGAATTACTTGATCATATCACCTTAAATGTGCAAACACCTGATGACTCAGGAGGCACACTGCTTTTTGGATGGCTCTGATCAAACACAGATGTAAATACTACAGGAAAACTGACATGAGAAAACACTGATTCACTGAAACTGCAGAACAGTTCGCATGCGAGGGTTGAATTCAGTGATCCTTCATGTTTGGAGCACATTCAAAAGACTCTGACAGGTTTTAGAATATAGATTTTTTTTTTTTTTTTTAGTTTAAAAAAAAGGCCTTGTGGAGGCACAAATACCCTTCTTTGCAACCCTAGTCCCATGCTTCAGAAATACGCATAGCAGAAAAAATGTTTAAGCATAAAATATGAAGTTGAACTACACTGAGGCTATAAGCAGCACACAATATTGACTTTATTTACAAAGCCTGCTTAGGCAGCCATTGAACCCAGCCTCCTCAGGGGCTCAGCTAAATTGCAGGTGCTTGAATCTGTTGAGTAATTAATTACCAGGCTACCAAAAGGAGATGTCTATTTCTGCAGAGCCTGAAGACTAGGTTCATTTGGGAACTCAGACTAAGCTGCATACAAGCCTTCTTCCCCTTCCCTTCTATTTGTATATTTTTACTTAACTAATAGATACAGCTCACATGTTAGCATTCTTATGAAGCAAAGGCAGGTGTAGAAATACAAGGAAAAGCAACTTCCCCTAGTCCTCATCCTTCCAGACAGGCCTCTGCATTACTTTCAGTGGCCATCAAGGGGACCACGATCCTGCCTGTCTCAGGGTACCATCCTCCCAGGTGATTTCATCTACCAGCACTATCATCACAGGAGCGCTGAGCTGACAGTTCAGTGAGGAGAAATGGTCCTCTTTCTCTGTGACCTACTTTGAAGATTTTGAAATGCTAAATCACAAAGCTATGGCTTTTGCTCACTGCTGCAATTGCCCTGTAGAAACAAGAGATGCAAACGAAACCATTAGTAACCTCTTCTTTCACCATGTATACGTGCCAAATTACCCTGCCATACGAAAATATAACTGTGTTAACCGCTTTGCATTAGTCAGATGCTCTCTTTCTTGTAAGTAATGACGGATCTACATTTTCTGCAATAACAAACCCAGTTCTTCTTCACTGTGTGCTGTGCTCCTTACCTCAGCACACCCTTCAAAGCTGATTTCCCTCAGCTTTAGATTAAGGCAAATCTTGCTTGATGTGGCAGATTATACATTTCCTCTATTGGCCTGGCAGCACTTAGAAGTGTGACTTTTGGTTTACACAGATTAAGCCTAAGGCTTTAGTTGCAGGTTAAATATCAAAATACAGGAAAGCAGGGATATAATAGGAGGATAAGAACAGAAAAAAAGAAACAGCTGGGAGTCCTATTTGGGACTGTGTAAACTGAATAAAGACTCATACGCATATATCAAGTGCATAGCTAAAAGTATGATTGAACGAGCCTGTTATTGTGCCCATTTGTATGATCATACCCCCTAATGCACTTGCAAAAGAGCACTTTTAAGACAAGAGTTGTTTGTGAAAATAATCTTTCACAGCTGCCTGATGCAAAGCATGACATGTATTTCTTCCCCCTTTTTGAAGGGAGTTTATATTTTCTTGTCTGCTTTATTTCCTTCCCCCCCCCCCCCCCCCTTTTTGAAGGTAACATTCTGATACCTGTTCATCTTTCTCTTAAACCTTCTGTACTCAGATATCCACATATTACTTCTTCCACTTACATGCAGAATCACTCCGCTTCCACATCCACTTACGAAGGTGCATCACTCTAATCTTCCAACCCTGCTTTGCCTTCTCTCTCTCTCTCCAAGTAATCCTCTGCCCTTCACAGTCTCTCAGTTTTCTCTATCCCATTCTGCCTATAATCACAGACTGGTTTGGGTTGGAAGAGACATTAAAGACCATCCAGTTCCAATCCCCTGCCACAGGCAGGGACACCTTCTACTAGACCAGGCTGCTCCAAGCCCCATCAACAGTGGGTGCTCAACATCCCAGGGGCTTTCCCCATCCTGCTCCTTCACACACTCTGCAGCTCCATGCATCTCTTTATACGTTGCCTTTGATTTGCAGAACATCTTCCAAACCAATGACCCTGGAGACAAGGGTCAATTTTGAACAAGGCCCACCTGATTTCAATGCCTTTGAAAGCAGTGGTTTCACTGCTGTGTTGTTGTTGCTGTGACAATACTGTAAAGAAACAGATGTCATCCTAGCTGAGGGCATGCTGTGATTTCTCTTTCACTGAAAGTACCAGAAGGTGGTGAATTCTGGAGTATGAAAAACAGGAAAAACAGTAAAAAAAAAATTTAAAATATAGTGAAAGAGCAAGAACCCTAATTTATAATTATGTGGCTAAGAAAATGGCCCTCAGTACCAAGATAAACACATAAAAGCACACTCTGACAGCCCACCCTGTCACTCAGCCTTTCTTTCAAACACCATCCTCTCTGCTGCATATGCAAACTACAATAAATAAATTCTTGGTGTCTTACATGAAGCAGCTGAAGTAACTGGGGTAGCCAGGGGTAACCTATGGGGTAGCCAGGCACTTCAACATATTACTGATTAGCATTCAGACCTTTGCTGAAGTCTTATGTCCAAAGTTGCAAGTAATGGTAAGTTTCTGGGAGCAGTGAAATGTATTATTGATAGTGATGAACTCCAAAGGACATTGTAAAACTGAGTCAGTGGTCAAAAAGGTGGCAGATTAGCTTCACTATAAATAAAAATAAGGTAATGCATTTAGGGAAAAGTATTCTAAATTGGTCTTAGAGGTTGCAGAACTCAGAACTGGCAGCTGCAGCTCAGTAAGAGCTAGCTGACAGCTCTACGAAATCTCAAAAGTCAATGAGTAGCAACAGACAAAAAAAGTCAGTAACATGTTGGACATCATCATGTACCAAGAACAAGACCAATGGTGTCATTCTGAAATTGTTTAAATAAAACTTCGAGTTATCACACCCTGAGTACTTCGTGCAGTTCTGTCTGGCCTCTGCACCTCAGAGTGGAATTAAAAAAGAGGCAGAGGGGAAGGGCAACTAAAATCATCCAGAAGATAGATCTGTTGGCATATGAGGAGGCAGTAAAAAGGCTGAAACTCTGCAGTCTGCAGAAAAGAAGGTCCAGGCTGAATGAAATACAGATTTACAGAACTGCACAGGCAGTAAATAGGGCAAATGCTGCAGATACTGCAATGCTATGACTATGGGACATGCAACGGAACTACCAGCATGACAGTTTGAAACAGGTAAAGAAAGTTTGTCTGTACACAGCAGTTAGTTGGTTGATAAACTGGAACCTGCTGCCACAGGGGGTTGCAGAGGCAGAGTACCAGAAAGTTCAAAAAGGGATTAAACAAATTAGTAGATTAAAAAACAGCTCAGAAAAGAACAGGACATAACACCCCTCATTCATACAACAGTTCTGGTTTCTGGGAGGCTACAAGGGGAATGGGCTGCAAAAGTACCCAGGCTGGTGCAGTCATCTTAACGAGCATCTCCCAGTGCCACTGTTGAGAGCAAGATACTGGGCCACGCAGTCCATTGCTCTCATGCACTAGGGCATTTCTTATGTTTTTTATCATGCTCCACTTGCAGAATAAATGATAGATGACTACCAGCTGGAAGTAAACATACCAAAGAATAGAGGCTACTGGAGAAGTTAAAATAGAGAACACTGATTTCTACTAAATTTTCTGGAGTAGCACTTAGTGAAATTATTTCTTTGGACAAACATTTCCTTGAAATAAGATCCTAGTGCTTCTCCTATTGGACATGAATTAATCTCATCTCCTATTACTGTAAATGAAGGAGAAGAAAGATTTTATACCAGCTCTCTGGGTTACAATTCATGGGTCAGCTGCTTATATCACATAAGTAGCATATCACTAGAAAATAAATGAAAACAAAACTACAGCTGTGGGAAAATTCTCTAAGGGGAAGGTTTCCTGGGGCCTTTATCAGTAGATTTTGTTATTCTTTGTAATTATTCTTCATTTCAGTAAATTCAATTAAACAAGCTTTTTTTGCTGTTTCCTCAAAGTCCTGGATTCTGGCACTGAACTCTCTAAGAAACAGCCCTTTTCTGACTTATTCCCATGTAACTCCAGTTCAATACCACAGGATCGTTGAAATAGATAGAAACACATTGGGAAGCTGAAGAGATAAAGGAATAAATATACGGTATATGAAAAAATATCAGTTCTTACTAAGGTAGTAACAGAGGTAAGGTAGCCTTACAGAAAGCAGCAACACAACTCCATTTCTTATTAGCAAATACACTTACGTGTTAATACACTCAATGCTGGACTCCCATGAAATCACACGCTCCTTTTAGAACTGTGTGAAAACATTCAGAGGTAGCTGGAATTGCAGGGTTAGTAAGTGTGGTTTATGCTATTTCCTAACATTTTGTATCTGGAGAAGTATTCTTCAGCTCACCCAAATGTTTATAAAGCATGATTTCAGCAGCTCTCCACAAACAAAAGCTCCAAGCCAGAGTCTGTATTTCTTCTGTTTTCAAAAAATGAAACAACTCAGTAAAGCTAGTTTCAAGATAAAACACAGAAAGGACAGACTTACTGGAGGACATTCTGTGGACAGTACCACCCAAAAGCACATAGGACAACAGCTCTCTTTTCTTTTGGTCTCACCCTCATAGAACCACAGAATCAACTATGTTGGAAAAGACCTTTAAGATCAACAAGTCCAACCATGACTGCCAAGGCCACCACTAACCCCTGTCACTGAGGGCCTCATTTATGCAGTTTGTGAACACTTCTAGGGACGGTGATTCCACCACTGCCCTGGGAAGCCTGTTCCAGTGCCTTTTTGGTGAAGAAATTGTTCCTAATGTTCAATCTAAACATCACCTGGCACAGTCTGAAGCTGTTACCTCTTGTCCTGTCACTTGTTACCTGGGAGAAGAGACTGACACCCAACCTCTATCCATCCTCCTTTCAGGCTGCTTTAGAGAGCCATAAGGTCCCCCCTGAGCCTTCTCCAGACTAAACAACCCCAGTTCCCTCAGCTGTTCCTCATCAGGCTCGTGCTCCAGCATTTTTTTGCTGGCATGGGTGTGTGCAGGCAAGGCCATACAGCAGTAACAGCAACTATGAACAGAAACCCCACTGGTGTTGGCAATGCAAACAATTCAGAGGTCTTCTGCAGAATGGCGCAAAACCAATGTCAGAAGAAGCGATGCGGTAGGTGAATCCTACTTACTCTATTAAATCAAAGAGCTTCTTGGGTTCAGCTGGGGGTGGGTAGATGATTTCATCTATGCATTTCCGGACACAGTTTGCATAGGCGGTAGAGATATGGATGAAGGCCTCGAGGTTCTGCATCTGCTGGGCCAGCTCTAGAAGTCGCTGTGTGCCCAATGCATTCAGTTGCAGGGCATGTCTAAAGAGAGTGGGGGAAGGAAACAAAAGGTATTACACTTGAAAGAATATACGGAAGCTGCACATTATACAAATCTCAAATCATGAAAATGAATGTAAGAGAAGAGAAGTGATCACAGCAGAGCAGAAAGCTTCAATGCAATGCAAGGGCTAAACCAGCTTCCAGTTAGATTTACTGTTCTGGCCACAGAAAGTCTCTCAAATATTTTTACTCAATTTGAATGATCAGAGGTAACATTCCTCTAACATTGTTAAATCTGACATATTTACCACCCCTTTCTGGAACAAATATTTCCAAAACAGATGACCACAGAGGTGTTATGGTTCCTATGGTGCCCTGTCAACTTTTTCTTTAAGGGACCACTGCTAAACCAGATAAACATATGGTTTCAGCAAGCAGCAAAAGGTCCTTTGGCCCAGGAAAACAGGTTCATACTGAAAGAAACTCAATTAGAGATAACAGCTTAAATTCCTAAGGAATGGCAAGGACAGCTAATAAGCATAAGAGAAAAAGAGTCCTGGTTAGCAAGGTTGACCTTGAAGCACAGAGCATAACTAAAAGTTGTCCTGGACCTATCTGCAACGGATCTCAGTGAACAGATGTTCAACTCTGTTGCACGCTTTGTACTGTAAGAAAGACACTTTTCTGCACAGAAAGGAAAAGGCTAAGGAATATGCAAACTGTTCAGCACAGGAGCATAAGCTTTCAACAATGCATACAAGATTATAAATAATGCTACTAAGTACAGCATATACTAAAGAAATTAATTATACCAACATTGAAGGGAAATTGTAAATAGTCCTGATGAATGAAAACAGCAGCTAAGAGTATGATTAATGTTTGCATCACAATATCTAAATTCAGAAATACTTGGGTTTTTTTTAGTATGACGCTACTAAGAATAGAGTTTTCTATAGATTTCTTTTTCCTCCTGCTCTTCTAGCAGGATGAATCCTTCTACTTTAGCTACACTTCATATGAAAGCTACTCTTCCGTGTACATTTCTATTCAACCATATCCCTTCTGAGAAGGGAAGAACAGGATTGCGCTCAGAATACAGGCCCAGCACAGATTTCTGCTGATATGTTCAGAGCTCTTTTAGCCTTCCAGGGGAATTTCATCTAACCCTGGTGATTTGTTACTCTTTTTTTTCCTATTTATATTAAAACTGCATCCACTGATATTTCAGTATAACACAGTTTCTCAGATTTCTACCCTCAAGAGTTCCATCTGGAGAGCTCCCTAAATGTACTGAATGTTGATGCCAATAATTCATCAGTTTCTCAGTTGCTGCCTTTCTAGTATCTTGATAGCACTGCTTTTGCACCTCCCTTTTCTATCGGCTCTAAATATTCTGTGGTAGGCTTTGGACTTCTGCCCTTTGGACTTCTGCCATTTTTATATTTTTGTGTTGTTAGCAAGTTGCTGCTCAAACCTCTTATTTCAGCAGCAATATTGTGCTTTCACATTTAACTTGTCAGAGCTTTTACCCATGTGATAGATTTCATTCCTCAGATAGGAATAATTTCATTTTAACAACTTCTCCTATTTTGCCATTTAATCGAATCGATTTTCCTTGTTCTGTTAGAGAGATTTTGACAGATCACAAGCAATCAGCCTTTAAATAGTTTCTACACTGCCTGCAAGCAGATGACCATTTAAACTTTTTAACTGCTTTCTAGCTAGCCTCCTTATTAAAAACGTAGTTTCCCTTTGATGCCACTGAGACATATTTTTCATAGCATTTTCACTCATGTACTGATTTAAAATCATTTATAGGTATTAATACAGTGCAGTGCTTTGCTACTTACATATTCATTCAGGTTCTACACATGGCTCAAGATTATATCAAGAGCTGCTTCCTTTCTGGTGGGTTCTCTACTTGTTGCAAAAAGCAATTATTTACGGTGGACACACTGGATATCTATTTAGCCTACATATGAGCAAATGAGGACTGATATTAGTAATTGTGTTTTCTACTCTCACACTGTTTTCCAAAAAACTGTGAAGATCTGACAATCCAGAGCATCCCTCTTGGTTTGTTAACCTTTACGATTTGCATAGAGGCACTCACACATCTAATCTTGGTTTAGTGGCTTTTTTTCTGTTCTTCTTTCTTAATGGAAAGCCTGCCTGGAGAGGCATTCCCAAGGGAGCTCCTTCAGAAACTGAGCATTTATTGTAAACAGTTAATTACTCTGAGTGTTGTGTATTTTAAAACTTGGGATAGGCTATTTTCTTAAACAACATCTTATTTCCCTCTCAGTTTCTCAGTGACAAAGAAAGGCCATTAACACTAGCTTTAGAGACAGGCACAACATAGTTTCACTTCAAGCTGTCTCCAGCTAGTTCTGTCAAAATATCTCCCCCGTGACCTAAACCACACTTTTCCCTATCCCAATTTTAGGTCAAACTTAACTCCCTTACTATGTTACAACCCAAGCTTGCAGTACTTCCTTCTGTTCCCATGGAAATCTGCCAAGACACTTCACTTTTGACATGCATATGCACATGACATTTTCAGAGCATTTACACTGCACATTCAGTGCAGAACCACATGTAGCATGGAAATATAAGTGGAGAGCTATTACTACAGCTATACAAGAGATGCACTGAATGTTGTATTATAAGCTATCATGCACTCTGAATTGTGCTCAGTGAATACAGAAAGAAGAAAGGAGGACATACTTCAGGGGTTCATCAAAGCGAACTGTTGCTGCACAGTGGAAGACAATGTTGATCCGGGTCAGAAGCTCCTCTTCATCTTCAGCACTGATGGCCAGCTTGGGCTGAGTGAGTTCAGCATTAATAGGCTTAATCTTCTCGTGGAAATTAGGGCAATCTTCTCGCACCCTGTCAAAGACCTTGAAGCACAAACAGAGAGAGATCAGGTACAGAATTAGGCTACTGAGATCACTTTGATTAGCAGAGAGTCTGATCATGTCAGTCAAACGAAACTGTCACAAAAGAGAATTCCTGGTTCTTTCAGAGGGATGACACAGGTGAGATGATAAACCAGTTAATTCATTTGTTCTCTCTCACAGGAAAACCTCACAGGAGAAACAGGACAAAAATACAGGAGGTAATGCATTGCCCTAAAGAGACAAATTACTCTTCTCTGCACCACTCGTTTCCTGGGACAGACACTGAAAATACTGTATTTCCACATCTCCTGCAACCACTTCCTCTTTGACCTCAAAGGATGCCTGTAGGACCATAACAGGAGCTAAAGAGGAGGAGTGCAGAGTATGGAGTGGGAAAACCTGTGAATCATTAGACTCAAGCAGTTTTCTTGGTGGTTTTACAAAGGACTTGAGCAGAGGAGAGGAACAGGGCACATTCTGGCTTCTCCTCTTCCTTTGCTACTCTTTGTCTACTGTCACTCTTTGTTCATGTCGGATGAGTCAAACTGCCTTTGGGATGGAAAGATGGGGAATCTCAATAACTCATACTGCTAAAGCTGTTGACTGCCATCAGCAATTTTGCAGAACTGGAAAGTGCAGCTAGTTGGCCTCTCAGGCTGTCTTCCAGCCCTTTTTTCCTATGAGTATGATCCACAGCTCTTCCCAATGCACATTTTCTGCTCAGCCTTCTACAGAACGACAAGACTGCATCTGTCCACTAAAAAGACCCCTACATTTCCATATACTGTTCTGTCTAATGACTTGCCCAACCCAGCTTTTGGCACCTTGCTTTGCCTAAAATCTGAGATGGCAGGTACCCTAAACAGTGAGACAACTGTGCACAAACCTTCTGAAAGAAAATCAATACTGTCATCACCTGTCAGTACCTATATGAAAACAGCAGTTTCCTCAGTTCCTATTTTTACTCTGAGTAGCTCAGTCACTGATAACAGTATAGCAGGTCTGGGTGCAGTTCTGCTTGCACTGTGAAAGCAGATGCTTACTGCAGGTTCCATACGGAAACCTTTTAGTTGGTCAATCTCACCAAGATGAAGCCTGAATTTCAAAACACTACATGAGCATGCTGGAGTAGTCTCTGAAAAAAACATCTTAAGTTTTAGAAGCATCTGTTCTAAGGGGCTTGTATTGTTGGCCAACATTGCTGCATTAAAGTTCCTCTATTTGGGAGCAGAGTGGCAAGAAGGGTAGAAAGGATAAATAGAATAGAGGCACTGTGGGATCTGAAGAGGTATAATCTAGATTTCAAAAGATAACCACACTTAAAAGGTAACTAGCCTACTAACAGGAACAAATAAGTACTGGGAGAGGTTGCTGGTGAATGCTGTGTGCTGCTACCTTTGCATGCATTTAAGAACTGTCTAGATAAGCATTGCCAGGAAAGGCAGGAAATACTGAGCCTGCCTTGGGGTAGGAGGACGTGCCAGCTGGCTTCTTGGTAGCTCTGTTTTCTGGGTGATTCCTCTACTCTGTAGCTTACTAACTAGTAACAATGAGTTTGCAAATCTCTTTACTATCGTGGCCTCTTGTTTTTCTAGAGATTGTTCTGTCTTTGATTTGCCCAGTGCTTACATAAGAGACATGTATTAAACAGACTAAAAGACATTTGAATGATTAAACTGATATTAACAGCAATATTTTCTTGTATGACTAAGGGACCGCCATCTTCCTGCTTATCTGACAACCAAATTTAGAGAAACCTCAACGTTCTTAGGGATAAAGAAGTGGAAAGAAAATCATTAGCCTTCCACACTATGCAGAAGCACACTCATGTATTTTTCCTTAACACACAGCTGCACATCCTTCATAAACCTGAAACTTCAGCAAGTTAACAGAAGTCAGGACAGGGTGATATTTCATTTCTCTCAGTTGCACCCAACTCCATGTGTATTCCTGTAATGTCTAGGCCAGAGAATAGATTTCTAAACAGAGAAAGCTAATCATGGTCAAAGATGCTGGTGAGAGCCAGCTGGACTGTAGGAACTCAGTTCCCAACAACTTATGTTCAGAACAAGGTACTAGCAGCATTAACATCTGTAAAAAACTTGTCTTCTAACAAGAGGTTGCTAGATTTGCTGTCCAAATATGCATCATCTCATGAGAGGTCACACATAGAGCAAGCCCCAGTGAGACAGAAAATCAAAAGGTTTCTCAGACAACCCATGTAAGACCAACGCTACCTTGTCAGAGTTTTAGGAACAATTCTGCATTTGTTTGTTCGATTGCAAAGAGAATGTAAAACTCCATCCAATGAGAGTTATTTTATACTGGGTTTACTTTGGCATAAATAACGCAAAGACAGAGGAAGAATGAATCAGCCCTTTCTCCATTGCAGACATGGCATATAAAAAGAAGTGTAGTATTTCTCCTGTGCCAGCCTTGATCAAATTTGGACAGTTATATTCTGCCTACATGCCATCTTCTCCTGACATTCCCGTTGCAGATAATACCTCCTTCAGTTTCTGTGCCTACTGCTAGGTATTTCCTACTGCCACATGCCACTTAACAGCTGTAGTTTTCACCCCCTCTGATGATTCACTGCGTTTCTCTGAAAGATGAAGGCAATTTCTAAATGCAAGCTCATAAATCAGCATACTGCTTTGGAAACCTTCTGGATCACAAGAACATTCAGTTCATTGTCACCATTAAATCAGATAACAGGAGCAGCTGTTTAATCAAAATTTGCACCCTCTTTTATGGAATTTGAAGAATTCAGATTTGTCAGTGCTTTGCAGCAAGAAAATTTAAAGACAAAACAAATGCAGCTTATTCCATACTGTTTCCTATAGTTCAAAGAGAGCTTAACATGAAGATGATGCTTAGTCTGCAGGTAAACAGTAATTTTGTTTCTGCTCTGAATTCCGATTAGCTCATCCAGAGCATATATAATAAATCCCCAGTAACTGCATGAAGCCTAAGGATTGTTCTGTCTCTTCTTTTTAGAAGCTGTCTGCCAATGCAAAATATATTCAATGGACAGACGTGGGCTGGCATGCTGTACTGTTGGAAATGCACAAAAAACACTGGCCAAGTCAGCAATACTCCAGAAGTGATACATGAATTGCCACACAATTATAGTTCTGATTTCAAGTCATCCAGTATTAAATTGAGGGAAATCAATAATAAAATATCCTGATTTCAGTGTCTTTGAGCATCTTAATGCGTTCCAGAGGCAACGCTGCCACCTTGACCAAAACACAATAAATAAACCTAATAGCTGCTATTCTCACTTTAAACCTCAAGGGACGCATGCTTTGCATAGGCTGTGTGGCCCCTCAACAGAGGTGAGAATTTCACTCTTAAAATTTGCTGACTTTTTCTTACTTTACAACCAGGCAATTCCCATTTATAGTAATAATCTAATCTCTGTGATTTCAATGTTGTCCTGGGTTCAGCAGTAGCAGTCATTTTTCTCCTTCTTAGTAGCTGGTGCAGCACTATGGTTTTTACTTTAGGCCTGGGAACAACGCTGATAACACCGATGTTTTTAGTTGCTGCTCAAATGTTTAGACTGACCAAGAACTTTGTGAGTCTCACGCTCTGCCAGGGAGGAGGGGAAGCTGAGAGGAAGCAGAGACAGGACACCTGACTCAAACTGACCAAAGAGGTATTCCATACCACAGCACATCATGCCCAGGATGTAACTGAGAGTTACCCAGAGGGGCTTGTTCACTGCGGGGTTGGACTAGGTATCAGTTGGTGCTCAGTTGGGCGGGGGGGGGGAGTTATCGGTCAGCAGGTGGTGAGGTGTTGTATTCTCTTCTCTTGTTAGTTCCTTTATCATTATTATCATTGGTGGTAGCAGTAGTGATTTGTGTTATATCTTAATTACTAAACTGTTCTTAACCTGTGGGAGTTGCATTCTTTTGATTCTCCTTCCCATCCCTCTGGGAGCAGGGGTAGGGCAAAAAGGGGGGGGGGAGTGAGGGAGAGACTGCATGATTTATGGCTGACTTTGTTTAAACCACAACAAATGTATGTTGTCAAGCGCTTACTATGAAAGCAGAACATCTACAATTACTCCAACATTATATCTAAGTATGTGTCCTGGGTTCAGCAGTAGCAGTCATGTTTCTCCTCCTTGGTAGCTGGTGCAGTGCAGTGTTTTGACTTTCGGCTCGGGAACAGAGCTGATAGAGATGTTTTGGTTTGGCCAAGGACTTTGTGAGCCTCATGCTCTGCCAGGGAGGAGGGGAAGCTGGGAGGAAGCAGAGACAGGACACCTGACCCAAACTGACCAAAGAGGTATTCCATACCACAGCACGTCATGCCCAGGACGTAACTGGGAGTTAGCCGGAAGGGCTGGGAGACTGCAGGGTTGGAGGAGGTATCGGTCGGAGCTTGGTCGGGCCTGGGGGGCGAGTTAATGGTCAGCTGGTGCTGAGGTGTTGTATTCTCTTCCCTTATTTCCTTTATCATTATTATTACTGGTGGTAGCAGTAGTGATTTGTGTTATACCTTAGTTACTAAACTGTTCTTATCTCAACCCGTGGGAGTTGCATTCTTTTTGATTCTCCTCTCTGTCCCTCCGGGAGCAGGGGGAGGGAAAGAAAGTGGGGGAAGTGAGCGAACGAATTACCTGACTGGGTTTAAACCACGACAGTTCTTTTGGCGCCCAACGTGGGGCACGAAGGGTTGAGATAACGACAGATTTGACTGGATTAATAGTCATTCGTCACAATGCTGATTTATTGGCTATCAGAGTTGTTCTTCTTGACCTCACAGCTTCAGACCGTTGTAACTTACTTAGAGCCGGTATTTGCTGTGTTAGTGTTAATCAAGTATGGGGCCTGGGCTAAGGTTCTTGTCTCACTGTGCTTTATGGCAATGGCTTGTAACACGGGCGGGCTCCAGCAGCAGGGCGGGACGGACGTGGCCGTGGACTTGTACCTGGCCGTCCGGCTGCTCTTCACCGTCCTGGCCCTCACCCTACTCTCCATCTT